TCAAACAAATAAAAAAGTTATAGAGGACCTTGCACCACCGCCTCTCGTGAGAACTAGCCGCCAATGCGTCGCTGTCGCCGTTGCCCAAACAGAGCCGTCTAACCTTGTAAATGGCAATAGGGAAGCCTTCTTGCACGTGCACTAAAGTCTAGCGCTCCAGTGCCGCAATCGACATTGTTGAATCCCTGAATCAATCTGAAGCGCCTGACATCGGATTTCACTGTCACACACGTACAACGAAAAACCCTAACATCACCGCCCCAAGGGACGACCTAAATCTACCTCGGAGCTCCGCCTACTTCGTCCTAGTGGGTGAACTCGAGGATGGCCGAGGCTTGAAAGACCAACTTGATGATGAAGCTTCACCATCCGCGAGGAAAAAAAAACCCTAACATAAACTACCAGCCAGAGCCAAGGCACCAGGACTCCCCTCCCTCACATCGGTTGGCTGAGGAGCATGCATATGGAGGTGGATCTATCGGCTCGCCGGTGAAGCACAAAAAGTTATATATATATGCCAAAAAGCATACTATTTGAAAGTTACATACACCAAAAGCATACTATTTAAAAGTCCATGATATATTGGAAGCGTTTCATTTTCTTCTTTCATGTGGTGGCGGTTTCCGACCGATGACTTGACTTCATCTTCCTCCAAATCTTGCTCCGGCGGCTCGGGATTGCTCAGGCTCTGCCGAGGGCGAAATCCTTGCTCGACCATTCGCTCGATGCTGGCAGCGGCGGACACCCGCGGGCGCCGTCATCCGTGTCCCTCTTCGAGCATCGGGGGAAACCCTGGGTCCGATTATCCAATGTTGGCTCAGTCACGTTGGTTTTGTTTTGGGCTTGCTTCCTAAGGCGGGCGAGTTTAGGGACCGAGCATCCCATGTCTCTCTGCTCCGGACACCATGCTCACGTATCTTAGTTTCTTGTACAGTGAAATGATACGCAAGCAAACTTTGTGTATCCGCGGGAAAAAGCATAGTGGATCTGATATTTTGAATAGAAAAATTCCACGGAGGGTGGAATGTGTGTGTGTGTATATACAGCCAAAATCTGTTATCGCTCGCACGTCTGATCCGGTGTGAAGGTGCGCGTGCCATCCATGGCGACGTACCTTGCACAACGTCTACGGGGTGCGGTAATTAAGGTTGCGTGACGTTACGTGCAACAGCCGCTTTCGCTTCTGAAACCTCTCCCCCTTTTCGATAAGAACC